TGTGATTGTGTGGAGCTGGTGTGGTGAATGCACACAGGGTTATCTCAGTGTGATTGTGTATGGAGCTGGTGTGGTGAATGCACACAGTGTTGGGCTCAGCCCAGGAGCTTTCTCTGCCCTCTGCGGTTCACTCTCCATTGTCAAGTCCTTATTGCAGAAAGTCAGCCAGGGAGTGGGAATGAGTAGGAAATGCCTCAGTTTACCTGTCTGTGTGACAAACCCTTCCAGAAGAGATGCCCCTCCCTCCTACAAAGCCCAGTGAGGTAGGGCGGGTCCACATTCCAGATGTGTTCATGGCCAGTAGGTGGATAAGCCTGGTCTTAGTATTTAACTCAGCTGAGCCCTGGACTCCATGCCCTCATCCTGTCCACACAGAGCAAGTGTCATACTCTACTCCTGCCCTTTGCACAGCACCAGGGAGGGTTAGAACTGCTACCTACTGAAATGGGGATTTGGTCCCAGAAGGGAGGAAAAGGCCAGGACAGGCTGGCCCTACGGGGCACACATCTGCCATTTGGTCTTCCCAAGCCACTGGGCTTCACAGTGGGAGTTCCTTTGGCATCACTGTGTTTCTGCCTGTGTTCCATAGCAGCAGCCGTCCAGGAGAGCTGTCCTTTAGAATCTGTGCTCACAGAGGACCAGCACTGCCCACTGCTAAGACCAGGACCAAGGGATTGCTTTCCTGTCTCTGGCTGGCTGGTGCCATCCAGGCTACATAGTGCAGCCAAGGTGGCTCCATACCTGCCCACTCACCTCCTCATGCCTGACTTCTGGTCAGTGCCTCCACTGTGCCAGGCTTCCCTCCTCCTTAGTCCTGCCTGGTCATTTCCCTGACCTCATCCCGAGCTGAAGTGGAACACACCTCTGACATCCTTGGAGCTTGGATTTGTGCCAGAGGCTCCTTTCCTATTCTATCCACTCTGACTCCTAGAGCCAGTTTTATTTTGGCTTCTTACTGACATGGTCAGGTTTTTGGTTGGTTTTTGTGTGTGTGTGTGTGTGTGTGTGTGTGTGGTTTTCTGTCCTTTGAAGACAAATCATCACTGTGGGGCAGCCCCCAAAGCCTTTCCCAAATGCCAGTGGTCACCAGACATGCCGTATTTATATATTTTTGCAAAGATGCCCTTACAAATCCACAAGGAAGGGATGAAGTCGACAGACAACATGAGCAGTGGCTTGGAGGGAAAGAAAGAAAACACATCTCAAGGAACAAACCACAGTGATGCCGGCTGGCTCTTCACTGCCTCAAGGGAGCTGTGGACATGTCCTGTGTCAGTCTGTGTGTAGTAGGAGCCATCGGTCTCCACTCCATGCTTACGGCATCCTGGAGTCAGCTATAGTTTGCCTCCCAAAATCCAGGGTCACCACTGCACCACTGAACTGTGTCCCCCAGGGTATCACTACAGAGAAAGGGACAAGAGGTGGGTCCACGTGTGTATGCCAACAGTCTGGCATTATAGGTTTGTTGTGTTGCCTTAAAGAAGCAATCAAATTAAAAATGAGACCATCCAGTATACTCTAATTCAATATGACTATGTCCTTTCAAAAGGGGAGTTTTGTGGCTAGGGTATTTTTCAGTGGTAGAGAGTTTGCCCAGCATACCATATGTTTGATCTTCAGCATCATAAAAGGGTTAGGGGAGGTTTGAACCCAGAGATGTGTGCATAGAATATCCTGTGATTATTATGGCAGAGGGGGCAGCATGATACGTCTGTGCTCCACAGATTGTCAGGGTATACAGCAAAGCCTACTAGTGGGGAAGGGCCTGGGGCACATTTTTCCTTAGGCTTTTAGTGAAGCCCGCCTGCCCTAACCCAGTCTCTCTTCTCTCTGTGTGGTAACCACAGCAAACCAATACAAACTGGAAACAGACCTGGAGAAAGCGTCGTGAGCACTGGGATGATGAGCCCGTCGTGCGCACAAGGCCTCATTCGGTGCCTTCCGACAGGAGGGACAGAGCCCAACTGTTGTTCTGTCCACACACACCATATGCACTGTGAATTGTTCTGTTTTGTTTTTCTCTATGTAGCCCTGGCTGTCCTGAAACTCGCTCTGTAGACCAGGCTGGCCTGGAGTTCTCAGAGTACCTCTGCCTCCTGAGTGCTGGGAACAAAGAAGTGTGCCACCACTTCCAATCGTGGTAAATATTCTAAAAGAACGAGAAGAGAGCCAGGCCTGGTGATGCAGGCCTGCCATCCCAACTACTTAAGAGGCTGAGGCAGGAGGATCATAACTTCAAGGCCTGCCTGGGTGACTCAGTGAGGCTCTGTCTCTAACAAAGTATAGGTTGGATAGAGCTAGCCCAGAGGTAAAACAATTCCCTATTGTGTGAGGTCCACCAGTACCCCACCCTCCAAAAAACTTAATGCCACCTGCTTTAGCTGAACCCATGACTTACCAGGCCATTGGACCTCATCCTGAAATCTCTAATACACACAGAGCATCCTCTGGGAGCTGACAGACTGGCTCATGTCTTCTTCCTTGTACATTTCACTCCTGACACAGTCAAGAGTGTCTCTTATAGAAGTCCTGTTCCTGTACAAAGTTGCAACATTTTTGGGTTTTGTTTGTTTGTTTGTTTGTTTTTAAGATATAGTCTCCTGTAGCCCAAGCTGGCCTTGAACTCCTGATCCTTCTACCTCCACTTCTCAAGCGCTGTGATTGCAGATGCATGTCACTGTGCCTCTCCTCTAACAGCTCCGTAATGAAGAGACACAAACTGGTGAGGGAATAGGGAGAGGGGGGCTGGGGTAGGTGTGGTGACATTCCCATAGCAGTAGCAGGTTCTCTATCTGCCCACAAGGTTCTACCATGAACTGTCACATCTCCCCGGATTCATGTGTTGAAACCTTCACAGTCAGGGTAAAGGATTAGGAGGTGGGGCTTATCAGAGCTGATATGAGTGTAAGGGCAGGGCCCTCATAAGTAGAATCTGTAATCTTATAAAGGAGACCCATCAGGGTTCCACATAGAGAACTCTGGTCTTAGACACCTAGCCTCCACAACTAAGAAGAATCAACTTACCGGTGGTTCATGGGCCCCTAGCCCACTGGGTTATTAGAGAAACCACAGAGGGGAAGGAAGGAAGGTCTGGTCTGTGAAATGTTCAGAAAGCAGGGACAGCTCAGAAACTGTCAGGGCATGGCAAAGGAACACAGGCTAAGCCAAGGAAGGCATGCTGGTTTATGTCTATAATCCCAGCATTTAGGAAACAGGCAGCCTGAGTTGTATACAAAGATCGTGTCTCAAAAACAAACAACAACAATAAAAATCAATGGCCAGCAAGAGACAGCTTAGTGGTCAAAAGCACTGGCTGTTCAAACACAAGCCTAAAACCTGCCTCTGACCCCTGGAGCTGATGGTTGACGTACAAACAGCTCTAAAACCTGGAATGTGCAGGCCTAAGCACACATTCACACGCCCCCCCCCCCCCCCCCACACAACCAAAAAATAAGGAAAAAATTTAAGTGCATAGGTCCACAATGACATTTTTTTTTTTTTTGGTTTGGTTTTTCGAGACAGGGTTTCTCTGTGTAGCCCTGGCTGTCCTGGAACTCACTCTGTAGACCAGGTTAGCCTCGAACTCTCAAACTCAGAAATCCACCTGCCTCTGCCTCCCAAGTGCTGGGATTAAAGGCGTGCGCCACCACCGCCCGGCCCACAATGACATTTTTAAAAAAAAAATAGAGGAGGATTCCATGAGAATGCCAACTGATGCACACAAAAATGAGGTAATTACCAGTCCTGGGCAATGGCTTACTGCCTCACTGTCTCAGTCCTAAAAGGGAAAGGGTCTCCCAAACTCCAGGACCAAGTGACACTCACCAGGACTCCTGGCATTGGCATATCATAGCGCACAGTATTCTTCCTGAAAGATGTCAAACTGTATCTGACCCATGAAATAATCAGACACACTCAAACCCCTGCACTTGTCAAACCTGTCCTGGTTGAGGAAAAAAATCAATCTCTGCCAGAGACACTGGTGGCATAAAGAGAGAGAGGCAGCTACTCTAACTGGCCCTAGAGGGAGATTTTTTTTTTCTTTTCTTTTTTCTTGCTTTTCTGGGTTTTGATTTTAGACAGGGTCTTATGCAGTCCGTGTTGGTCTTGAACTCCTGACTCTCCTACTGTTGCTTGTGAGTGCTAGTGTTACAGGTATCCCTACCAAACCTAATGTGATGGTTAGTTCTTCGTTAACTTGACAGAAGCTACAGTCACCTGGGAAGAGGGACCCTCATTCAGAAAATATCTCTATTAGATTGGCTTGTAGGCATGACTGTGGGGCATTTTCTTCATTAATGATTGACAGGAGAGGGCATGCCACCCACTGTGGGTGCTTGCCCCTGGGCAAGTGCTTTTATATTGTATTAGAAAGCGGGCTGAAAGGAAGTGCAGTGTTTCTCCATGGCCTCTGCTTCAGTTCCTGCCTACAAGTTTCTGCCTTGAGTTCCCTCAGTGATGAATCGTCAAACAAAATACACCTTTTTTTCTCCTGAGCTATGTTTGGTTGTGGTGTTTATCACAGCAATAGAAAGCAAATTAGGACACCTAGTTTTTCTTCCCCTTTTAACTTGGCATGGTATGAACCTTATTTAGTCACAATGGTAATTCACCATCACCAGATTGGAAACTTCAGAAAGT